CACACACACACACACACACACACACACACACACACACTCCCCGGCCTTTTATGGGAGTGGATGGGCGCACAGCTGGCCAGCACAACCATGACCGTGACATTCAGTCCCCAGAGGGCAGGTCATAGGATTTGTTCGTGTCGTTGATATCTTAACTTAGTTGAACACTAGCTGGGCCCCCTTTCGATGAAAGGAATGATCGGTGCATTAATATCAACTGAAAGTCATTAGCCTACTATATTTACCCTCAACTGGAATTGAGTAATAAATCATAAGAGATGCAACAAATTAGAAGGTCTAGATCTATACTCTCAAAACAAAATGCGCCTCTCAAAATATCACTTCCGGCACTTTCGTGGTGAAGGACAGCAACGCAGATTTGTTTCATTTCTCCGTGGAATAATCACAAAGGCCAAAGAAGGACGGGAACTTTTTGTCAAATATATTTTTCTAAATTCAGGAAATGAATAAATAAAAAAATCGGGCTCCATCATGGGGACCTATCTATCTTTTTGCAGGTTACTTGCCAACTTTCAACTCTGCAGCTGTCGTAGTTTTATGGGAAAAGTGACATATGTGTTTCCAAGTTGCCAAATACATGTATATAATAGATACTATGGCCTTGCTTTCCCTCATCACAGCGATTACCGGGCTGTATTAAATTTTCATGATAATGGGAAAGAATTGTGAATAGACTGTCGATATTCCCACCGAGTAATGAGTTCAGAAGTATCAGGGTCAGACATGGTCATTGACGAAGCCGATAAATTGGTTAATGATTGACTTGTGTGTCTGCTTGCGTGAGTGTGTGTGTGTGTGTGTGTGTGTGTCTGAGAGAGAGAGAGAGAGAGTATGTGTGTGTGTATGTGTGTGTGTGAGTGAGTAAACGAATGTTTGTTCGTTTGTTTTGAATTGTTTTTGCTTTTTTAGGGTTTGAAAGAGATGCTGTCCTTAATTTTTGTTGATTTTTGGCTTCTTTTTGTCACCCCATGCCGTGTTGTTAAGTTAATCATTTAGTTTGTAACAGTTGCTGTCCATAAAATCTATTTTTTAGTTCATTATTTTATTTATTTTTTATCCAACAGTAGCCGACTGTACCTCAAATTTGGCCTTGTTTAAGACTGCGGAGGTTGGATGGTGCACTGGGAGATCTTTCTTTACTCTTCTTCTGTTGATTTTTTCTTTGCAACAGATGACTGTTATTGTGTCCATGGGGTTCTCTTTCTTCAAACTTATTTGAACTTCTTCACAGTCTGTTTGATGGGTGGTTTGAAGGTGTTCTGATGTGGTTTGTTCCTTCTTTCCCATCGTCTTTATCTCTCCTTTTTTGTGTATGTTACTCTCTTGTAACGCCTCTAATCTTCGGCACTTATATTAACTTTTTGTGTTGCAAGTGCCGTAAATTTTTCACCAAAACAAAAATAAAAGTCTGTCTGATTTGCCTTTCCCACCAGGCATGCATCTTCACTATGGAGACATGACAGACAGCACATGTTTGGTGAAGATCGTCAGCGAAGTCCAGCCCACAGAGATCTACAACTTGGCTGCCCAGAGTCACGTCAAGGTATACAAGTACAGCTTAGGAGGGCACCATTTTCTCTCTTTTTTGTTCTTTTTCTTTTCTTTCTTTATCTTTTCCTTCTTTTTTTTTCTTTTCTTTCTTTTTTACTTTCTGTTTGTTTTATACCAGTTAACTTTTCCCCTTGTCCCTTTTCTTTCCTTTTTTTCTGTTATTTTTTATAATCTTTTCAGTTTGTCTGTAAATTTGTTTCTTTATATATCCTTCCCTCCATCTCAAAAATAAAACCCAACCAACCTCAACCCCCCCCCACAAACTTCATATCTACCTGTAGCCTTTCTCCACCTTCCCTGTCAATCATTCAACTATTTTTCTGTCTGTCTCTCTGTCTCTCTGTCTCTCTGTCTCTGTCTGTCTGTCTGTCTGTCTCTCTCTCTCTCTCTCTGTGTCTCTCTCTCTCTCTGTCTCTCTGTCTCTCTCTCTCTGTCTCTCTGTCTCTCTCTCTCTCTCTTACAGTCTTCTTCTCTCTCACACACACACACACACACACA